ATTTAGACAGACTACAAAAGTGGGCAGATGAGAATAGGATGGGGTTCAATGTAGACAAATGCAGGGTGCTGCACCTTGGGAGAAGGAATGCACAGCATACACACAGGCTGGGGAGTTCCCTTCTTGAAAGCACAGAGGCAGAAAGGGATCTTGGAGTCATTATTGACTCCAAGATGAACATGAGCCGCCAGTGCCAGACCGCAGCCAGCAAGGCCAGCCTTACCTTGTCATGCATCCAAAAGTGCATCTGAAGCTGGTCCAGAGAAGTGATACTCCCCCTCTATGCGACTTTGGTCAGGCCGCAGTTGGAGTACTGCGTCCAGTACTGGGCGCTGCACTTCAAAAGGGATGTGGCCAGCCTGGAGAGGGTTCAGAGGAGGGCCACCCGCTTGGTGAGAGGGCAGCAGGACAGGCCCTATGAGGAGAGACTGAAGGACCTGAACCTGTTCAGTTCCAGCAAGAGGAGGCTGAGGGGGGACCTGGTGGCTGCCTATAAGCTCATCAGGGGAGATCAACAGCAAATAGGCAGAGCTCTTTTCTCCCCAGCACCACTTGGGGTGACAAGGAACAATGGTAATAAGCTGATGGAGAATAGGTTTAGGTTAGAAATCAGAAGGCAATATTTTACAGTTAGGGTGGCCAAAATATGGAACCAGCTTCTCAGGGAAGTGGTCCTCGCCCCTACCTTGGGCAAATTCAAGAGGAGGTTGGATAATCACCTGTCTGGGGTCTTGTGAACCCAGCATTCATTCCTCCCTGTGGCAGGGGGGCAGGCTAGACGATCTGTTCAGGTCCCTCCTGACCTTAGCTACAATGAAACTATGATTTGGTTTTTCCATATTGCTTATTCTGCCCTAATTATCTGTGAGAAATTCCCATCGATATCTGTAAGTACAAAGCATAAAAGAAAAAACTACATTGCATGCAGGAGATTTGCAGTGAAGGGTAAAATTTTCCCTAAATTTGGAAATGTCAATCTTTTAATATGGGTGTAGGTTGTAGCTGTGTTGGTCTAAAGACTTAGGCAGACAAGGTTCTTTGGGTGAATCTGATATCTTTTATTAAACCAACTTAAATAATCTTTTAATATAGCAGCATCACGTATTCGCCACCTGAGAGCTCCCTACACCTTCAGTTCACAGACAATGCAATACAGGCAGTCCTTGACTTAAAACATTCCGAGTTACAATGTTTTGCACTTACAGCATTTATGAATTGACACCCTGTTTCAGCTTTATGATGTCAGTTTCAACTTTACAACACTTGATCCGATGTGATGTCACGCCAGTGAACAAGTTCCTTGCATCACTCATCTCCCTGGAGAACATCTGTCCAAACTTCCTTGGACACTTTCTTTAAGAAAGAAGACAAGACTCTAGAAAAACCTGCAGCCAAGACTCCTGAGAAGACTCCAGCCAAGAACCCTTCAAAAAGTCCAGCAAAGTCACCTCAAACAAGTTCTTCCAAATCAATGTTTGCTATTTACAATATAAATACATTAATGTAGCTATATTACTTATGTATAATTGATCAAGTACAACATTCTGGGGTATTTTTGGTGAAAATAGGGTATAGGGCCTTAATTCAGGAACAAATCCCCCATTTATAACATTGTTTCTTATGAGAAAATTGGTTCCAAGTTACAATGTTTCGACTTAAGACTAGATTTTCAGGAACCAATTGTGTCATAAGTCTGAGGACTGCCTGTACATTTTCTTACTGTCCTAAGGTACCAGCCAATTCAAATTTACTTCCTATCCTTGAGACAATTCCTATTCCATTACAGGCATTGGGCCTGAATTATTAAACTGAATCTAAAACAAATAGTTGAATGCCACAAAATGGATCTTCTTTTGTAATAGCTGGTATTGTGATGGCATTACTTTTGAGAACCCAGATTTGTTGCATTCTAAACTAGTGCCTCAATCACAGTATTTACTTATAAATATATAACACAGCATCTGCTCTGTCCTCTTTTCTGCACACTTGCAACAAAGACTAGAACCACACAGATTACAGACGTTTTTCTGTACGTTGATAAAATACATTTATTTTCCTTTCTAATCTCTGCTATCTCAGTGAGTCTAAATCATTCCTGTGAAGCATCATATTCTCTTGTGCTGTGTATATGTTGGCTCTTAAAATTGATGCAATGTAGTACATCTTAGAGTGGGTCTGTGTAGGGTCTATGTCCAACCCTCCACAATGACTGTTTGCTCTTGGCATGCTTATCGGCGTGCATTCAAAGCCACTCTAAGGAAGCTATATTACCTCATTTCCAGGATTTGGTCATGAGTGAGCAGGGCAAGTTGCACAGTGGCACATCTGGTTGTGGCACAGAAGCGGTATAGGCATGAATGAAAAAGTGTCTCTGAAAACTTCTGGTCCAGCAGTCCTCAAAAGCAGCAAAGACAATAGCGAAAGGATGAATGATTTTTCTCTTTTCTGAGTCTTGGCCTTCTGTGTCTTCGGTTATCTCAGAACAAAATAATGGGAACTGTTTTCTCAGTTTACCAATCCCAGTACTTTTTATCTGGCATTTTATTTAGCATACCAACCGTGGTCTAGGTTTTGACTTGTAGAAGGAGCACAGATTCCCAGTAATGTAAGAGGCTGAAAGAATGTCTTGACTAGGAAAACTATGGGTGCGTGTACACGCCACGAGATTTTCCCTTTCAGGTGGTGCAACTGTGTTTCTGTTTGCATGAGTGGGATTTTCTTCCGTTTTAAAAATCTTTTGGGCATGTTAAAGTAAAACTGCTCAGACATAATTTAGTTTGGGCTGCCACCAATTACATCATCGTATCTATGGATTTGTTGCATGCAAACACAAGGGCACTCAAAGATGTGGAATCAGAAAAAAATAAATGCCTTAAACTTTGATCATACGAGTTATAAGATGACATAACCGCTTTGTGGGGAATTGCTGGCTCTGTATAGTAGAACAGATAAGGGAAAGTGTTTGTTCTTTGTAACTCCTCTGCAACTGCTTCGCTCACCGCGGCCTTGAAGATAGCAGGAAAAAAAAGTATGTACAACTCTGATTTCCAGGTGCAAGAAGGGAGTGTTATTTCTTCCTTTGTCTCCCCCATAGTTCTCATCCTGATAACAGCAAAGAAGTAATGAGGTAATGTTTGTAGCTGCTTTTCTAGCTAATTCCACTATATGATCACGTGAGTTGTAAGCGACTATTAAAAAGTATATAAGCCTCCTGATTTTGCTCTTGGGGGGGAACCCCTTCCAAGTGCTTGGGAAATCCATGTCACTTTGGAGTCCCCCCTACAGATGTAGTTTCATTTGAATAAAAGCTTCTGCTGACCTGACCCAAAAGTATGCTGCGTGTGTTTCCACAAGACTTGTAATTCTCTTCTTTTACCACCAGGTGACACTGTGATATTTCTGTAGTTCAGGCCTTTACCCTCTAGGTGCTGCTTTTGATTACTGCTGCTATTTATTTATTTATTATAGTCTCTGCTCATCCCTCCTTCCCACTGCTCCCACAGCTGACTGCAGGCAGGGCGCGGTGTGGAGAGGATCTCATATTGCTGTCCTGTACCAATCCTTATATAGAAAGAAAAAAATTGAGTACTAAGCCAATAAACCCTCAGCCAACACTGTGGTATACTACCCCCTAGTATTGGTCGTACCTATGCTCATCCCACCACCGGCCCTGTGTGTCTTACCCACACCCCTGCACCCAGCATGGTGTTCTAAACTGTGGGGCACAGCAGTAGCAAATGTTTACAACTGAGGGAGTGTGGCAACTCTTCTTAACACTTTAAAATTTCAGGGTAACTTTCCTGTTTCTTATAACTGCCATTGCCATTTCAGAAAATACACAATGAATAGTACAGGTGGATGCTGCATGCCAGACCCACCCACCAGGATATGCAGCATATATAGGTAATTTCAAAAATATCCTACCGACTTTGGGGGAGGTGAAGAGGGTGGTGTTTGGACTGTGGGCCAAAACCTGTCCTTTTTTTTTTTCCCCCTGCAGAAGACTTTTGAGAAAAGAGATTGAAAAGAATGAAAAAATGAAAGAACAGAGTAAATAATAGTAGAATAGAAATAGATATACATACAATAATTAGTTATTGTCTATTTATAAGTAAATAGTGTATATATAGGGTGCAGGGAAGGAAATTCTACATTCCTTTTTTTCTACTTTTGTACTACTTTGCAATTTATTTATTTTTTTAAAACAATTACTCCTTTTTATGAAAAAATCATGTACATGCACCACAATTTTAATTTTGAAATAAATTTTTTGAAATTCATACAGTTCCTTCCAGATGTGGCTTGTTTTCTTTCATAGGCAGACTGGCATGGCAGTTTGTGCAGTTTGGGATTGGGTGGGTGGGAGGGAGAGGTGATCACCGTGCCTTAGCAGACCAGCATCTCTTGGTACCTTTGCAAGAGAGACTATCTTTGCAAGAAATACTGCACCAGGGGACAGCTGGAAAGAAGGCTTTACATTTGAAAAAGGGCAATTAGCAACTTCTCAGGCTATGATGAGCCTTATGCTTGGGGCTTGCTTTTTGCATTGCCTCCAACCACCACAACCTGCCCCCCCATCTCTGTGATCCATGCCAGCTGCTAGCAGACAGCCCACCGCATGCTGGTCCCAGGCTGGGTTGGCGAGGTGGGGGGCAGCTCATCCCACTGTCCTGTGCTGCCACCTGGCTGCCACCCAGCTCCCCTCTCTGCTCCACCCCAGGCAGTGTGGGGGTCAGTTGCTGGGCGGTGAATGGAATAGGTCGCTCAGGATCCCCACTAGGTGAGCAGCTCTCCTGGGCATGGGGATCCCTGGAACCTTAAGGATCCAAGGAATCTTAATTTGTCTCTACACAACAGCACCCCAACCCTGCTCCAATCTGCCATGCTGCTGCTGCGGTTTGTCCTTGTCTTCTGGTTTGCACAAGGATACAAAAGACAGGAGGCAGATCATTCATTCTCCTTGGTATAAAAATCCTTTAATGTTTTATTCACCATTTTTCCCATTAGTAAACACACGAGTGAGTTACATTTGTAGAAATCCGAGTAGAGAAGTATTCACAGTTCAACAACTTAGCAGTGACATTGACCAAGTCCACCCAGCCCCCCTGCTGCAGAATATTCATCAGACAGGGGACCCGAACACCATTTGGGCAGTGGTACCCCATAGTTTGGGGCAGGCAACCCTTCAGGGCAGACATCCAATGGAGGGATTTTTAAAATAAGAAAATGACATGTAAGTGGAGCACCATTTTAATGTTGAAATACAGTTTAATGTCCTGCCCTGCTGTCTTGCACTGAGGTCCAGCTCCCTTGCTCCCACAGCTGTGTGGGGGTCACCAGGCGTGGGGAGTTGGGGGGTAGATAGTCAGCAAATGTGCGCACAGATGCCACCCAGGAATTGTTGCACACACTGCATGTTTCACAGACATTTCTGAAACATTATCTATACTTCTTGCTATGATTATTAATCATGCAATTATTTCTAATGGTTACTATGAAAGAGGGCACACCCCTGTCACAACCCAAGGGTGTGATTTTGTGTGTGCGTGCTTCGGCACTGCTAAATTATTTCCCGCCACGAGGAGCTTTCTTTGCAAGGTGCATTTCTCAGTTGCAAAGAGAAAACCCCGGTGCAAAGAAGTTCCCGTCACCTGCATGCAAATTTGTGTCCCACTATTGGCCAGTTCTAAATTATTCCCACGTGGCGGCTAGCGACTAGCTTGCTAGCCGCAT